ATAAAGAATATCTCTTTGGATTTGAGACTTTAGTCTTTGCAACTTTACAGATCTTCTTTATGCACCAAGAGCTTGTAACACTTCAAAGAGAAAGGAAAAATTTAAATCGCATCATATGACCCCTTTAAGAGATACGGTGCAGTCACACCACTTATTACACAACATTTCACCACATACATAATTAAGGCGATAAAAGATATTGATTTAAGACGAAAATGTTTTAAAATGTTACCAGTTTGTTAGTTATATCTTATAATCCATTACAGTGTATAAAACAATCGTCGCAAAATTGCAGCAGCTGCGTTTGTATGAAACGAGAGCGAGTCTGCGATACCAGGATGACATTAAAAAATTGTACACATAATATTAAATTGAGTTTTAATATTTTATTAGCCAACCAAATGCAAAGCTTCCACCAAGAAATACTATTCCTAGAGTATAGTGCCAACTTCAGTTACCCGGATGAGCCTGTGTTATCAGCTTTTACCGGTTGATATCGAGGGATAACACACCTCGGAATGTCGCGACTGACCAATCAGAATCAAGTATTCCACAGAGCTGTGTAATAAGTAATTGTAACATACCAGTGCATTTTTTTTTTTTTTGGTTGTAAGATGTTTACATGTTAGAGAACTATGTTTAGTTAAAATTTTTTTATTTTGAAGTAAAGAAACTAAAATTAGTTTTCTGTTATTTTAACAAATCAATATCGCTTTTCTTTTTTTTTTTGAATAGCAATGTTACATCTTTCCTTTAATAATAACAAGTACATCAGCATTTTAGATCAAATAAGTTTAAAAAAAATATGTTTACCTGCAGTGTTTGAAGATCCATGTGGCACTAAACATACAAGAAAACAGAAAAGAACTGCATATAAATCCATTTTCTAGAGGTCAAACAAAATGAAGCTGAACATTCTTTCTGTTTACAAATATTTGTTGACCAGAATGGCCTCTTTTCAAAAAGGAAATGTCAGATGGGACGCAAATGGGCTTCCTGCAGCTCGAAAGTTTGTTTGTTTTGTAAATGTTTTGAACTTAACCCAAATTTAAAACATTTAAATAAAAAAATAATAAAATAAAATCATTGATTTAATGATGTAATGAAACTTAATGAAAATAAAAATATTCTGAGCTTTTTATGAGCTCTTATTTTTTAGAGTGTTATTTATAATATTACAGTATTAAATCTAACAATGGCCCCAAATGCATTTGCAGATGCCTTGAACCTAAAAAGCCTAAATTAAAAAAATGAAATGAAATAAAAAAAACTTATATATTGTCACTGTACTGAAGTCAAAGCAATTCACATATTATCTGGAAAATATTTACTTTGTTGACACTGTATCATTTTTGTACATTTTCAGTTCAGTTCAAATTATTTTGTGTACCGCACCTTCTTGACTACAAATGCAGAGTTACAGGCTGGTGGAAGCTAAAGGGGTCGTGAAATGCAGTTTCAGATTTTAAATTATGTTTCCCGAGTTTAAAGTTTGCAAAGTTTTTTGCACCAAAAATGTGTTCAGTGCAGAGTTCTCCGATACAAACCACAAACGTGTTAGTAATTTTAACTAGTTTAAAGTCTGATGAAACAGCACTGAAATTCTCAACAACACTGACGTGGAAAACAGGAGAAACATTGTGCAACAACAATCCATTTAGAAGGCTTTTCAATCCACAAATCACAAACATTTACCATGGATTTACTGTAGTAACACTAACTTATACCATGGTATTGTGGCAGAAATGTGGGATTATATTAGCAATGCAGACATTAAATGTATTAAAAAAGTAATGGAATATAATATGTTTTTTTTTCATAATAAATGCAATAGAAACAATATAGTTACTTTCATGATATGATAATCATGATAGTGATTATCTATGGTTAACATGATCTAAATACTATAGAAGACCAATGGTTAATTTTAACCATAACCAAGTCAGAATATTTAAATTTTACCCTATAAAAATTAGGTTTTTACAATTTTTTACAGATGTTACTGTTTTTGTTAATGAACATAAATGTACATCTACATCCCAACTCCAGCTAAGTGCATTTCTAGGAGACAGAACTTGTAATGTTAATATGTGAAATGTTCACCTGTTTAGCAAATATTTGCAATGTTTCATATGATAAAACGTCTCGGTTACGTATGTAACCCTCGTTCCCTGAAGGAGGGAACGGAGAAGTCACGTCGGTGACTTACGAATTGGGATCTCGCTTCAAGAGACCAATCTACTTCGAGTGTAAACTAAACGAGCCAATGCACATTGGCATGCGATGATTGCATCCAGCTGCCGCTGATCACAGCGTGAGCATAAAAAGGCAGCAAATGCAATGCATACCAGGTTTTCGCTGAGGAGCCGAGCCCGGCCGCTCAGCGGTGGTACAGCAGCCGTGGCGCCGGGACATGACGTTTCCGTTCCCTCCTTCAGGGAACGAGGGTTACATACGTTAACCACTCGAAGGCTATAGAATCTAGCAAATGTGTTGGGGGTCGCCCAGCCCGCAGCTCTACAAATATCTGTCAGCGAGGCGCCACGAGCCAGCGCCCAGGAGGATGCAACACTTCTAGTAGAGTGAGCTCGCAACCTGAGCAGGCAGGGCACACCCTGTGCCTGATAAGCCAGGATGATGGCATCCACAATCCAGTGGGCCATCCTCTGCTTAGAGACGGCCTTCCCCTTCTGCCGGCCTCCGTAACAGACAAAGAGCTGGTCTGAGGTCCTAAAGCTTTGTGTCCGGTCTACGTAGCATCTCAAGGCTCGGACGGGACAGAGCAAAGCTAGGGCTGGGTCCTACACAGCTGGCCGCGGGGCCTGCGCAAGTATGCATTTTCCCCAGTGAGCCTTCTCGCACATATGCTGTGCAAGGTCAGGGAGGACGAGGAGCAGTAACGCCATAGCGTGTAAGGCGGAGGCAGCTTCCCTGCAAGCCGTATAAGCACCGCTGGTCAGACCAGACGAATGCCTACAGGCCCGGGAAGGGAGCAATGGGTCTCCCCGCCAGGAGGAGATGGTCCTAGGACACAACTGCAATGCTACCGACCCCTCCACCGGGGGGATCGCCGAATACCCCCTCGCTGCACCACCGTCGAGGGTGGTGAGAGAGGAGGAGCTAGAAGGCTGGTTTCTGGCAGTAAAAGGTGCTGTCCGCGACCTGGTGAGCGCCTCATGCACTTCCGGGAAGAAAGACACTGGGACGGGGCGCTGAGAACCAGCGCGAGCCACCCCGAGAAACCAATCATCCAACCTCGAAGGCTCGGGACGCGGTGGAGGATTCCACTCATGCCCTACCCTTTCGGCGGCCCGGGAAAGCATAGCCGACATCTCTGGATCCGATTCAGGCATTGCCACCGTACGGGTGAAACGGAATCTTTAAAAAGACGATCCGTAGGCTTTACAAAGACGCACCCGCTTATTGTACTCTTTTAGAGAAATTGGCTCTTTTAGG